GGGGGGGGGGGGGGTTGTTAAGGAATTCTTCTCTTAAAATTATAGGAGGAGTTAATAGTTAATATGAGAGTTAGATAACCAGGTTCTCAGATGTTTCCATTTTGTATACCCCACCATCATAAAAAAAGTGTATCCTATGAGCACCTCATGTTTCCCTCCCTCTTAGTCGTGCAGTCACATGGTGTTTCTCAAGAACTTTGCTTCCACTGGAAAATAACATTAAGAACATATTTTCTCTGTCTTCAAAGCTTTATGTGTTTTGTCCTTTGAAGGAAGGTTAATTGCCCTCAGCCAGATCCTCAGCTGGTGTTAATCAATATAGCCTCATTGTCTTCATTAGCTCTGTCAATTATCAAAGCTTAGGCTCTGGCCTAATCTGTGTCCCTAAAATAATTTGTTCATAGGAACATGATCCAAAATCCATTGCAATCAACAGGATTCTTTCCATTGATTTCTGAGGGCTTTGCATGAGGAGATTGGACCTCCTTTGGCCTTCCCTCATTTTGTTCTTGTGCCACCTGCATTGAATTCAGCAGAGTTACTTCTCTCCATTTGTTTCACAGGGAGGAGGATCAGTCCTACCAAGCATCCTTCATGTTAAGAAAAAGTGCATGCACAAATTAGTGTAAAGACTACTTCACTACAAATCAAAATGTTTTAATGGTTACCAACCAATAAAGGTCAGCTTTTTGTTAGAAAAATAACAAGCACAAATATAAAACAAAATTAAATCAAGTATTTAAAGGTTTCCTGTTCACTGATTTAAATCAAAATTTTGAACCACTTGGATTTAAAGCAATCCACCCTGGGTACCAGTGTCAGTCTAGTTACAGAGGAGCAAGGAAACTGTACTCTACTGTGACACATGTATCTGATGGAAGAACGTGTTAGCTGTGAGACTACAATTTTCACACTCTTGGATTTAGGCTTGGTCTAGACCAGGGCTGCCTACCTGGTGGCCCACAGGCCACATGCAGCCCATAAGGAGTTAGTTTGCTGCCCTGAGCTTCAGGCTAGCCTTCATTGCCCTCTGAGCTCATGTGCAAACATCCACAGGCAGAGTTGGCGTGCATTTCAGAGGTGTGTGTGCGCAGAAAAGCTGCTGCATGCTTACATGGAGAACACATAGATGGTTTAGTGAACTGTGGCAATGATATGTCACCTTTCTCCTCATCTGTGATTGTGCTTGTTCTTCGTAGCATATGTTCATCTTTGCAGTGTCTCTCAGACCTACCAATAAATATTCTCTTCCTGATGATGCAGCTCTCATTCTGAAGAGAATCCAAGACTGCTCTTGTAAAAGGTAAGCAGAATTATTTTTTTCTTTCTCTCTTTAAATGGTATACTAAGAAAGCTTGGTACTTTGTGATTCTTTCCCTGTCTCCTTTTTTGCCAAGGGTCATTGCAGCAGCCTGCTCCAGTCCTCTAATTACAGGCTCTCCTGCCACATGTATACCCAAGTATCCACTGGTTCCCGTGCATGTATTCTGAAGACTGCATTTGAGCTGAATGAGCTGCTTTTCTTTTTGAATTCCATGATTTGGACTTAGAACTGGTGAAAGGTAGATTATTAGCCCTGGAAACAGGAGTTGTCCAGGTTTTTCTTTACCCACAGAACAGGCACAGCCTATCCAGTTAAGTTTCCCAGTCAATATGCCTCAGTCCTGTTTTCGAAGGGAGGATGAGCTCAACCAGCCCTTTGGCCTGCTGACTGAGATCACATGTTTTGTGATGTGGACCCTCATCTGCTTGGAACTGAAGTCTGACAATCAACTAATTTCACTGGGACCATCAGCTAGTAACAATTTCTGGTCATTGACTACTTAGGTTGGATTTGGACCAGTGACATAGCGGAAGGTCCCATATGCCAATACACATTCCCTTGGCTAATCTCCATTTGTTGTTACCCGTTCACCCACTCTAGCTTCCATAGAGGTTTCAAGACTCTGTTAGGGCTGAGTTGTCCTTGCCCACAGAGAAGTAGGGCTTGGATGAGTTTCCACCCAACAGACTCCAGGAGAGACACACCTTCTCTGCTATGGCCAAGTGTCTCCTCTTCAGTACACCCAGATCTTATTGATTTAAAGAATCCCATGTTTTCAGCTCTACATGTCTTGATTTCTTTGGTTTCTGATATCATTTCTAAAGTATAAGTGTACTTCATCCCAAGGGAAATAATTTAGAACTAAATAATAGTTCACTGAGTTGAGTTAAGCAGTAAAATGTATATACAGGCTAGGAGAGATGAATCACAGAATGTGGCAAGAGCTGGAAACCATTTCTCTAGTTTCAGAAAGGCTACAGAGAGTCAGTGACAGCAGATTACCATATTTTATCACATACCACATGCCCCCAAAACACACACAATTTATTTTTGGAAGGCAGACTGTAGAAAATAGATTCTTCCAGAGTCATGGCCTAGAACTAGCTTTTTCATGGAGAGGCTGTGTTGCAAAATAACTGCCACGTTCTCTCTCAGCCAGCAAGCTGAGAGAGGCAATGACAGGGTTAACAATGGACTCCACCCCTCCTGCTTGCTGGCTGAGAGAGAAGTTGATAGCCATTTTGCAATATGGTGTCTTCGTGCTTCTATTTAGGAGGAAAACAATCAGCTTCCCTGCTTTAGACTTGCACCCCAATTTTGAAGGACTCATTTCTAGGGGAAAGGGTGTGGTGGTATGCAAATATAAGCAATATATGAAGGTAGAATTGAAGAGGCAGGTAATGCATTTCTTGCAAAAGAATAGCTATGAGAGGTGTGCCTGCCAATTTGCAGCATACTTAAGAATGGACCTTGCTGAACTTGGCTTTTTGATGGGATAATGTGGGGCAGACTCTTTTTGTAGAAAGTGTTATACATCTGTTGGTGCTGCATTCATCTTGCATAAAACTGCTTAGTTGCAGAAACTAACCCAAACAAACTATTCATTAGCATAGGATTAGACAGAGATTAGGCCCTCCATTATATCAGCAAATATCAAGAGAAATTCCTTCCACTTCAGGGGAGTTGCTTCAGATTTATGCCGTTGTGTCTGATAAAAAATAAGCCTAGATCATATGTCTGTTAAGCAGTTGGGAGAGGACCTGTGCATTGTGAGTGGCTGGGTCAGGTGGTTCCCAGCTCCAGGAGGTTTAACTTTGTTCCTGGCTGATTGCACATAGTGCTTATTATATTGACCATGGGGTTCAGTGAAGATGGGCATGAATGAGACAAACTAAACAATAAACACTTATTGTGAAGTAGTAGGCAAGCCTCTGCAGTCGTTCAATCTCTCTATATTATTTTCTTGCATACAACATGCAACTTTTCTGCCAGGGATGAAAACACACTGCTTTGATTCCTGCTCCACAGTGGAGCAGCTGTGGTATTACTACTCTGGCAGCTGAAGGAGTCAATGGATTTAATGGTTCACTGTTCTTCAACCCACAGGTGTTAACAATCATCTCTCCTTTTTAATGGTCTCAGTATTCCACTAACCAAACTATCCTTTCTTAGGGAAATTTTGCAGTTTGCTAGCTGCTCCTAGTTTTTTTCTTTCTGTTTCACAGCCCTGGAGACTATGTAGCTTTTTTCAAAATCATAGATCCACCCCTGGAGACCAGTCCTCAGCAGCAGCTATGGTTTCAGGTATAGTTAGGCAGGAAAGGGAGGGTAAGTCATCTTAAAATTAGGCTCTGTCCCTGCTGTATGCATCCATAACTCTGGAAAAATCTTTTTTTCCTTCACTCTGCTTTTCAAAACCAAAGTCTGTGTTATATTCCAGAGTGTATGGTATGCAAGCAAATATAGTAACTAACAGCTACTGCCTAACTGAGGAACTATCTCCCAGTTCCCAACTCTTCCAAATCAGGAGTATCTCTAAATCATAACTTTTATCACTACACTTTGTGAAGCTTATAGAAACAACACAGTGAGTATAACTAGAGAGCTTTTACTTACTGTCAGCCAGCTGATTAGACTGGCTGGCAGAAGGGAAGGGCGCAGGGGTCACACATCGGAAGTGTGATAGAACAGTTGCATCTTTTATAACTTTGTTGTGCATTGAATAACTATAGAAACCAATTAGCTTCTAATAAGGAAACCAATTATCAGTCACTGCACAGATAACCATGCAGATACACCCTATTTTACTACATGGGTATGTGTACCAATTAGTTGTCCTCTTATTGTTGAACCTCCCTGCCTTCCTGGAAGATGTGTCACTTGACTTATCATCTTCCAGGTACAATGTGCAAGGGCTTTGAAACTCCTTACTCATTATATTTCTGGCAGCCCACCCAAGCCTGGTACTATCTTCTAGGAAGGGAGATAGAAAGGGGGAAACTGAGACCTTGTTAAACAAAGAAGAGAAAGGGACAGTGTAATGAGGCAGGGAGACCTGCTAGGACCTGAGGCCTTGTTAAGCCAAGGTTTTGTTGAAGCTGTAGACAGTGTGTTAGGACTACTTGTAGCAGTGTCCAGTCTTGCTATACGTGATGAAACATCCTACCCTGGTTGTTGAATCAAAAGTGCCCCTTAAAACTCAGTGTTTTCTGTGGTTTAGAGCGCTAAAAAACTAGGGTGAGAGATTTGCCTTCCTGCAGAACTGAAATTAAGGCCAATCATGTCATACATTTTGAGAGAGAAGGACAAGACAGGACAATCCCTCCATTCAGAATGCATCGATTTATTAAAAAATGCATATAATGGGAAAAGCTTTTAATTTGAATGATATTGGTGCCCAGAAGCACGGCAATTACAGAAGGGCTGCCAACATTTCTATTACATATTCTGTTTTTATGCATTTACCATCTCAGCTGTTCAAATCACATCAGGCTTATGTCTGGCAAACACTTTTTTCCTCTCTGGATGCAAATCAGATCCCCCTCTGCTCTTCTGATACTTGTGCTTTAGCCCTAAGCACAGGGCTTATTGGTATGAGTAGAGGAAAGGCTAGTGCTTCAAGGTTGCATGGTCTTTTGTGGCAGTGATACACTTCTATGCTCCCATTACTAGACACAGAAAGGAAGAAAAACCCTCCTAGTTGGGGGTGGCTGGTGCAATATTTTGCCTAGATCCATATGAGCTTTCTCCCTCCCAAGGTCTTCATTTCTCCTTCCTCTCCTAGCCCTGTACAAGGAAGACCACTATGCTGTTTACTGTACATGCTGGCACAAATGGCCACATCTTTTCTTCCCCAGATCCTGACTGGGTCACAGTGGGAGATGATGAGATGTGCACCACAGATTCTTTCTGTCTCGGCGTCCTGTGCTGGGGGCAGTTAGCCAGTAGGAGCCTGCTGACTTACTGCTATGCTGGTGCCATCCCTGGCCATGGGGCCTAGCTCCTGTATTTTCTTCCTTTAGCCCTTAATGTATCTGTTTCTTAAGGCCTCTTGACCATGGTACTTTGGTTACATGTTAAATCTCCTATTCCTTGTTAAAATTGTTTTTCCCTTTTGAATTGTAACTTACCTGGGACAGGTATTTCCTCTAATTGGGTGTTTATACAGAGCATGAGAGTGGGGACTCAATCCTGATTGTAGCCTTTCAGTTGTACTACAGTACTGATGATGATGAAAATAATGATGATGATGATTTAAGCTGAGCTGGTGGCTGTCTTCAGATCTTGTGAAGTTCAGGGTACTCTGGAGGCTAGAGGGGCAGTGATACATTCTACAACCCTGTTGAAGATTTCAGAACAAATTTCTTTAGACCAGCAGATAGAGTGTGGGATTGGACATGTCCGTTGATATACAAGCAAAGGTAAGAGCTGGTCAGGTGGAAGAGGAATTAAGAGTTCAGGGAGCCTGCTGGAGTCTTGGGAGGGGGAACCCAGGTCAGATGGATTTGGTTAGCTGTATGCAAGGAGGGGCCAAGAGAGAAACTAGTGAATCTTAAACAGGTTCAGAAAAACATGAGGTCAAGTTCTGTGCTAATTTACACTGCTCTGTGCAAACCCCTGGGAGATGTGCAAGGTAGAAGTCAATGTAGAATTTGACCCTTACATTTTGAGTTGTTTGTTACAACCAAACCTCCAGATCTGTTTTGGGTTCTGCAGTTTGCCATTCAGTCTAGTGTTTGCACTTTCCATTTTAAACAGTCTTCATAAATATTGTGCAAATACAGGTGATTTGTACCCAGAGTGCAGAATCTGAGAGAAAGGGGACTGGGAGTTACACAGAACAGCTGAATCAGGCTTGGAAAGGTACAGAGGCGCTTAGGAGAGATTGGAATAGCACAAGGGAGCTGACAGGATTGGAGCAGCCTGAGGGAGCTCAAAGATCAGAGCGATGATAAATGCAGTATAGATTTTGTAGCTGGAAGGAATGCCACCAGAGAAGGAAGTGGGTGAAACAACAAATTGATGGTACTCTCCTCTCATAGCTCTCTCCTCATGCAGCAGCCCTAGCATATCCTGCAGCACACATCAGCTGTTTAAGCTCAGCTGGTCTCTCTAGCCAGGGACTACTCAGTGCATGATTTCAGGAGGGAGGGACAGAATGTGTCATGCCAACAGAGGCAGTGAAGAGTACCTCACAAACTTTTAGGATGACATTATTTTTAAAATGGAATCTGTGCTGGTCAAACGCTACAGGAAGGATTCTTATGTGTTGGCTATTAAATGACCCAAAGCTGCAGTAGTTTTAGCTAATGTAGAGTTTGTATTTGTAATGAGACTGAGTTTTTTGTTTTATACTGATCTCTGTAATAATTATTTAAAATGTTGCTGTCTGCTGTTAATTGCTGTGCTGGGCCATCTGCCTTGTTATTTCCTGCCAGTGTACAATGTTTGACATTACTCTTAGCTGGAAACCGGAAGTAAACCTTGCCAGATATAAAACCCAGTGATAGAGATTAGTGCAAGAGAGCCAGGCTCCAAGAGAAAATTGGACCAAGTACTGTCCTGCTTGTATGTGGTTTCCTTCCTCCAGGGGATCCCAATACATGTTATATACAATTGACAGGAATTGCTTTAACCACAACTGAAATTCAGTTGGAACACAACTACTGAATGGCAGCACACAGCAAAACTGCATGACGTTTAAGAAGTGAAATGAGGAGGGATACTATAGGTAGTCAAAACTGCAGGGAATATTTAGGCATCTAGGGTACAATTATCCATACTAGAATTTGCCCAAGGCATTCTGTTTCCTACGCTTGTAAGTGTCATGGCATCGTTAATGATCACAAGAAGTCAGAGTTGCTGTTTTGCTTTGGCTACTTAACAATATTCCAGTGCCCTGATTCTTGGCTGGTTTTTGCTGTCACACAGGAAATCAATAAGTCTGCTTCAGCTGATGTCCTGCGTTTTCCTTGGAGATCTTCCATCCATGTACTGGCAGGCCTGTCAAAGGTCAGTAGGTAAGATATGACAAAGTCTACAACTCAAGTTCTTGCCAGTCTTTGCTACCAAGCCATCAGCTCTCCCCTGCTCTTTCTCCATGCTTGAGCCTGATGCTGCCTTAACTTCCGGAACAGAACTTGCTAAATTCCTTAGGGCTTGTACATCATGATAGAAACAAAAACAAGGTGTGTATTATACTCTGGGGCATTTTTATATGCAAGAAAACACAGTATATGAGCTCACATTTCACCTTAAAGTGTGACTTGACCCTCCTGCTTTGCAGTAAGGATGCATCTCAAGCTGGAGTAGCAGATTCTGGGTGTGAATTGTCCACCAGTGCCACCCCTTAATTTCCTGGAGCTACTCACTTCTCACTTGTCTCCCATGCAGCAGAAACAACGGCTGGTTTTGTACACACAGTCTGTTTTTAGCTCTTTGTTCCAAGTACCCTACTCCATTTCTGCAGTACTCAACTCACCTCAGCCAAATCATGCTAAACTATGTTGTACCAGCTTATTGCTAAGTTGGCAGAGGAGCACAGCTGGGGAGGGTTAGACTCTTCTGTCAGTACAGCAAAGACATAGATGTGGGAGATGTACCCAAAACCAGTTGGTGTATGACAGCATCTTGAAGAAGCTGATGGAGGCTAGAATCAAGGTCCAGTGTAGTAAGCCAGGTAAAAGCCTTGATGATGTCCTCTGTAGGCAAAGGATACTAAATCAAAACCTCGCTCCTACCTGCTCCTACTTGAAGCAGTTTGACAGATAGTATGGATATTGCTGGCTACATAGGCACCCAAATAGTTTTGTGTTAAGTGCCATCTTGCCTTCAGTTTATCAAAGGTTCACTTTGTCACCATCCTACAATTGTTAAGTGTGCCATTAAAATAGTTAGGCAAAATATGGCCCACATGCTGGGGTTTGCAGGGTGTGGGGACTCCCCCACATGCTCCCCCCATGATGCACAGTCTCTGCTGCCAGTGGTGGCAGAAGCAGCAAGCAGCAGACCCTTGGGGTGCTTGTGGCCTGTGCAGGTGCAGCCGCCTAACTGCGCACAGCTCCACCCAGCTCCAGGGGCTGTATGTGGTGGCAAGGAGCAGAGCCAGGCTGGCCCACCTCTGTGCCATGGGGCAAACATGTAGCTCTGGGGACTTGTGTGCACCACTGCAGGGATGCGATGGAGCCAACTGTTTTCCCCACTTCCTGCCACCACATGCAGCTTACAGGACTCCACTAGGAAGCAGTGCCACATCTCCCCCACAACCTCCTTATGTACACACACCCACACCCCCAACATACCTATGCAAACACACATAAAACAGAACAAAATATTCATAGATTGTTAGGGACTGGAAGGGACCTTGTAGATCATCGGATCCAGTCCCCCTGCACTAGGCAGGAAAAGACAACTGGGTTCAAGTGACCCCAGTGAAGTGACTGTCCAGTTTCCTTTTGAAGATTTCCAGGGTAGATGACTGCACCACCACTGGAGGGAGTTTATTCCACAGTCTGGACACCCTGGAATTGAACCTGAAGTGACCTTCCAAGCGTTTGTATCCATTGCTCCTGGTCTTCCCCAGGGGTGCTCTGGTGAACAGCTGTTCACCAAGTTCTTGATGTACTCCCCTGATGTAACAGTAAGCCTCTACCAAATCCCTTCTCAGCCTTCTCTTTTGTAGGCTGAAGAGTCCCAAGTCCCTCAGCCTCTTCTCGTATGGCTTGTCTTGCAAGTCCCTGATCACACGGGTGGCTCTTGTTTGGATCCTCTCAAATTTTTCCATGTCCTTGTTGAAGTGCGGCACCCAGAACTGGATGCAGTATCCAGCTAGTCTCACCGGTGCAGAGTACAGTGGGAGTATCACTTCCTTAGTTTTGCATGAGATGCAACGGTTAATGCATGCCAGCGTGTTGTTTGCCCTGCTGGCTACAGTATTGCACTGCTGGCTCATGTTCATGCAATGGTTGATCACTACCCCTAGGTTCCTTTCGGCTGCTGTGCAAGTCAAATTTTCACCACCAAGCCTGTAGGTATGTTGGGGATTGTTTGCCCCCAGATGGAGCACCTTACACTTCTGAGTGTTGAACCTTCTCACCACCTGCACACGGGAGAGAGACCTGTTCATAGAAGGAGAAGAGATTGATAAGACAAGACCTACCCACAACAAAGCCACGCTGGCTGTCGTTCAGAATCTTACCCTCAACGAGCGTATCACACAAAGATTCTTTAATGAGTTGTTCCAGGATTTTCCCTGGGATGGAGGTTAGGTTGACTGGCCTATAGTTACCCAGATCCTCCCTCTTCTCCTTCTTGAAGATAGGCATAATGTTGGCCCTCTTCGAATCCTCAGGGATTTCCTCTGTGTGCCACGATTTCTGAAAGAGTTTTGCCTGCGGTTCCACGATGGCCTCAGCCAGTTCCATCAGCACTCGTGGGTGAAGTCCATCTGGTCCTGCTGACTTATAAATTCTAGCTTTTCTAGTTGGTTTTGCATCAGCTCAGCATCCACAGTGGGAAGGCTATCATTCCCACCATGCCTTCTGTGATCCTTATCTTGCTTGTCTTTCCTCTTCATCTGGTGAAATACCGAAGCAAAGTGGGCATTCAGGAGTTCAGTTTTTTCCTGAGTGTGCATTACCAGCTGTCTCAAGGTGTTAAGAATGGGTCCACACTTCCATTTGTTTTCCTTCTGCTCCCTACATACCTAAAGAAGGACTTCTTATTGTCCTTGACTCCCGTGGCTAACTTAAACTCAGTTGCCATCTTAGCTTTCCTAATCATTTCCTTATGACTGTGGACCACTGTTGTATAGTCCTGCTTGAGGACTGTCCCTAGCTTCCACTGTGGGTATGCCTCCTTTTTCTTTTTTAAGAGGACTGCAATGTCCCTATTGACCCAGGAGGGCTTGCCAGCCCTTCTGCTACTTTTTCTCTTCATGGGAATGGTTTTCTTCTGTGCTTTGAGGATAGTGTTCTTGAGGAACGACAACTCTTCGTGCACCCCACTCGCCTTCTGTCCCTGGTCCCACATTGCCTCCTATACTAATGCCCTGAGCCTGTTGAAGTCAGCATTTTTGAAGTCCAGGACTTCAGTCCTACTAATTGATTTGTCAGCGTTGTGGTGGACAGTGAACCTAATGTACTCACAGTTGCTGTCGCCCAGGTTACCCTCAATGTTCATGCTTCACACCACATTGCCTCCTTTGGCCAAGACCAAGTCTAGGAGAGTGGTACCTCTGGTTGGCCCTTGCACTTCCTGGGTCAGAAAGAGCTCCTTGATTACAGTTAAGAAGCTACATGACTGATCCGACCTAGCCAAGTGTTCTTCCCAATCTATGTCCAGGTAATTGAAGCCACCCAAGTCCTTTGTTTGTGCAACCTCTGTCAGTTCTCGAGAGAACTCCAGATCCAGCTCCTCCCCTTGGTTCAGGGGCCTGTAGTAAATGCCCACAGTTAGGTCTCTCTCACCTCGCTCCCCCCCTTTTACCCTCCCCCATGAAGCTTGACCCAAAGGGTTTCAAGTTGCTTATCTTTTGGAGCCAATGTCAGCCTCCAGAGAGGTGTACTGCTCTCTCATGTAGAGAGCTACACCCCTGCCTTTTCTCCCTGCTGAGTCCCTGCTGTGCAGGGTGTAGCTCTCTATGGTTATGCTCCAATCATGCGAGGAGTCCCACCAGGTCTCCATGATCCCAACCAAGTCATATTCCCCACTAGAGAGCAGGAGGGCTAACTCCTCCTGCTTGCTCCCCATGTTCCTGGCATTGGTGTACAGGCAGCTGAGGCCCCCAACTGACATTCTTGATTTCCTGAGATGCTGTAGGAGAACTGTTTGGTTAGCATTTTCAAAAACAGTTATCTTAGTGTCCTCCATGTGGGAGCTTTCCTGTGTGCCAGTCCCCAGGCATGCTTCACTTGGAGTTTCCCCATCCCCCAGCAAAGTCAGTTTAAAGCTCTGTCTAGTAGATCAGCCATCCTGGCTGAGAACAGGGACTTACCTCTCTCCACGTGAGGTGGATGCTTTCTCCCTGAAGTGTGTGCTGTGGTTGAAGAAACCGAAGCCCTCATGGTAACACCACTGTCAGAGGTGTCTATTTACTTCTTCCACACAGCCTTCCCTCTTGGGTCCATGGCCTGCAACAGGGAGCACAGAAGAAAAAACTACTTGAGCCCCCAGAGCCCTGTAGTCACTCATGACCCAGTCCGGATTACTCCTGGCCATGTTGTTCGTGACCACGTGGAGGAGGAGCATGGGGTAGTAGTCCAAAGATGGTGATCAGGGGTGGGGCACCTGTCAAGGGGCAGGACTACTGTTGCAGCCCTTGACAGCTCACCAAAACTAATTAATAGTTTCATACTTGGCAGGGTCAGAAGAGACCTGAGCAGATCATCAAGTCCGACCCCCTGCCATGGCAGGAAAGAGTACTGGGGTCAAACGACCCCGGCAAGGTGTCTATCTAGCCTCCTTTTGAAGACCCCCAGGGTAGGAGCCAGCACCACTTCCCTTGGAAGTTGGTTCCAGATCCTAGCCGCCCTGACTGTGAAGTAGTGCTTCTGGATGTCCAGCCTAAATCTACTCTCAGTCAACTTATGGCCATTATTCCTTGTTACTCCCAGTAGTGCTTGGGGGAACAGGGACTGTCCCATTGCCTGCTGGTCTCCCTTGGTCAGTTAATAGACAGCCACCAGATCCCCCTCAGCCTTCTCTTGTAGAGGCTGAACAGGTTCAGGTCCCGTAGCCTCTCCTCATAGGGCCTGCCCTGCTGCCCCCTGATCATGTGGGTGGCCCTCCTCTGGACCCCCTCCATGTTGTCCACATCCCTCCTGAAGTGCGGCGCCCAGAACTGGATCCAGCTGCAGCCTGACTAATGTCATATAGAGGGGGAGGATCACCTCCTTGGACCTGCTCATGATGCATCTGTGGATGCATGACAAGGTGCGGTTAGCTTTCCTGACCGTGTCCCCACATTGGCGGCAGAAGTTCCCTGACTTCTGGTGGGACTGGATGTGTTCAAATCAGCAGG